CCAAATAGTGTCCAAATTGTGCACCTCGACCAAACAGTGCCAGAGTCATGCACCTCAGGCAAATAGTGCCCGAGTCATGCACCTCGGCCAAACAATGCTCAAATTGTGCACATCGGCCAAACAATGTTCGAGTCACTTCTTGGCCAGTCCAATGCCCGAGCCACGCCTCGCGGCCAGTCCAATGTCCGAGTCACGTCTTGGCCAATCCAATGCCGGAGCCACACCTTGCTGCCAATCCAATGTCTGAGTCACATCTCGACCAATCCAATGCCCGAGCCATGCCTTATGGCTAATTCGATGCCCGAGCAATGTTGTTCGGCCAGTCTTATGCCCGAGTAGTGTTGCTCGGCCAGCCCAGTGCCCGAGTCACATCGCTCGGCCAGTCTAGTGCTCAGTGTTGCTTGGCTAGTCATGTGCCCGAGCAGTGTTGCTCGGCTAGTCCAGTGCTCATTATCAGAGTAGTCTGCTCGACCAAATCAGTGTCCAAGTAGTATTGTTCAACTAGTCATATGCCCGAGTAGTGTTGCTCGGCCATTCCTGCGCCTGAGCAATGTTGCTCGGTTAATCCAGCCAATTCAGTGCTTAGTGCCCGAGAAGTGTTGCTCAACCAATCATGTGCCCGAGCAGTATTGCTCGACCAGTCCAGTGCCCATGATATGGTGCACTGCGTCGACACAACACCTTGGACTCGGGTGGGACGATCGCATGTTCTCGCACTGTCCGAGGTCGTACAAGATAGCGCCGCATAGTACAGAACCGCTTCAGAAAGCTCAGAACGACGTCGCACAGGGCCGATCCGTGCAGGTCGATTAGTGCCCACACATAAGGTACGAATCAATCGCCCGAGAAGTCGACGGCCATTAATAGATCACGTACGACCGATCTTTGTTCGCAGGTATAAAAGCCAACCTCCTGAGTCGGACTTCAAACACATCAGCTCCCCCTAACTCCACTCAACATTGACTTGAGCTACGGAAGGGTCGAGTCGAAAAATCCCCCTCCCAACCTCGGCCTGTGTGCAGGAACTCGACGACGAAGCAACAACCCGGCGAGAAACTCCTTGCTCTACCTTGGATCAATTATAGAGATGAAGCCTGGACCCGACCTGACGTCAACCACCCCAGTTCGAGCAGCCACGTGGGTGGCTATGCGGACTCGGGATCGGACCAAGCCGTGCTGATCCATCGGCCGGCGTAAAGTTGCTCAACAATCCCTATGTTTTCAAAACCGTTAAAAGTACTTGCATCTCCATGAAGGCACATCACACTCATCCAAATGACCGAATGCATCAAACCAGATGACAAATCGCTCGATCGCCCACCCTAACCCTGCGAGATAAAAACCGTTTCCTCGGCCCAAGAAACACAACAAATCAAGGGCGTCCCTTGAAACATACCAAATACATACAAACTACATAGATCGAAAGAAAAATTGGTTCGGAATGGATTCTTCCAAAAGACAACGGCAGGCTAGAAAAGAGGAACCAGGATGAAATCTCTCAAGATTAGGGCCCGTGTCGATCGAGAGAGAATTGATCCACCAAAAACCAAAATTAACAAAGAAAAATCAGGGACTTTACGCAAGGAAATTAGGGTCCGGGAGGAGAGGCCGGCTCACCATGTTCTCGGTCGAGGGGAAGTAGGACAGGAAGCGGCGGAGGAAACGAGCTCGGGGCAATGGGCGGAGTTACCCTTTGTGGCGTCATTTAAGACACACGTCAAGTCCGGTTTCTACGGCGATTAATTTACGTATATATTTATTTATTCCACTAAAATTAAATTTTATTATAATTTACAGATTGTAATTATACTTAATTATTACCAATTGAAACGTACAAGTGACGTTAAATTCCAGTTTGATTGGGTAACTTCTCTGCATATGATGCATTTTCTATCAACAATAATTCTTATCTTCAGAAGATGAAAAGCAATTTACACGTACAAATCGATAGATAAATCATCCATCGAAATTTTATTGGACTTAAATGTCTTATCATACCAATGAGCGCATCATATCTATCTACATCCTTGAAATTGTTGCGAGTACCAAAGATAAATTAGATTGATCCCCTCTGTTTAAGAATATATGCTTTCCCGCAATGCCAAATCCATCCCCTTTTTATTTGATGATCTTTCATGTATATATATATATATATACATGCATCTAACCGATGCATATTTTGATCAATAAGATGCCCCATTCATGTTGGGATTCATCCTCTGGTCTGTTTCATTGGATTACGTACAATATGGTTTATCATCTCCTCCCAATTTCCTTCGAACTCTTACATTAATTGACGTGCCTTTCACTATCGAAAACCGAATCATTTTGGGTCTTCCAAGGCATATGCTACGTCTTTCACTATCGTAGCATCATTTCCCAGCTCCAATGCTACATCAATATAATGAACGAGAACAGAGACGAACACGTTCAAGGTGTCCAGAGCCGACGCCCGCTTCCTCGGTCATGGCGGAGAGCAAGGCGAGAGCCAGGGCTTCCCTGCCGTCACCATGGTTTCGGAGGTGGTCGGATTGGGAGCCAGCGAACAAACACTAGGACTGATCACGCTCAAAACTAAGGATCCTCAACGCTCTAACTCTGCAGCTGCTTAAACCTCGCCTGCAGTAGAGCAATGGAGGAGTCGAGGGCAAAAGGGAGTCGTTTGGTGGGCATGGGAGGAGGGCCACAGTCACTTTAGAGGGAGAAAGGTATGGGAAAGGAGAAAAGTGGCTCTGCCAACTCAGGTGGCCATAAAATTTTGCTCTACAACCAAACCAGAACCATAGTCACCCAAAGAAAGATAGCAGATGATGTTTCTTGACAAACAGAACACAAGACTTAATCGGAAACTACTTAGGATAAACAATTTAGACAGTCTAACTATATCGCAAGTATGCTTCCTTGTCTCATATGAACTAAACCGGCAAAAAATGATAGGATAAAATTTAGGCAGAGAGCCAAATACCATCTGCATGGGCATGGCAGTGTGTCATCAGGCAGATCAAGATATTGAAAACTCCTCCCTCGACTCAAGACAATGACTTCGAGATGATACTCCATACAATTAGCTGGGTTTCCTCATGTTTCGACCGGCCCGGATCACTTCATCTACCAGAAGCAACTGGGAAGCGATAACAGGCCTGCGTACCACAATTATATATCATTTATGTGTTTGCTCATAAGAATAAAATTCAAAATATGAAGAGGGTGGACATACCCAGAGTTTATGATTTGTCGCTTCACTGAGTAGTTATCAAAGATCCCTTCCATGTTTGAATCTATTGGTTCTCCGGTATGATGATTCAAACCCACAATGTTACCTCTGTCATGTTCACCCTTGAATACAACATAAATAATGATTAGTTAAACCATGATCCATTTTGTTTAATCTTGCATGCGAGTGTGGAGAAAAATATAGAGCAGGCCTTTACTGTAAGAGCAATAATGACATCTTGTGTGTCGAGGCCAGAGTTCTCTGCTAGTGTTTTCGGTACCACCAGTAAAGCATCAGCAAAAGCTTCCACGCCAAGCTGTGCACGCTGTTAAAAGCATTCAATTAAAAACTCAGCATCGTGCGACAGTTGCTTGAGCAGAATCTTAGGTCAGCTTACCCCTTGAACAGTTTTCTTCACATTGTTGACCAAGTGCTGCCTGGCTGCTACCTCAAAAGCCCCAGCCCCCTATTCCCGGGATGAAACATGATGCAAATGTTAGTAAATTATCCAGGACCTTATCTTTACTCATTCACACTGATTTAGCACTTGTCCGATATATAGATGCACTAAATTCAGCGACAAATAAAGTGAATTGACATACTATATGAGAATAGCAATTAGCACACAAAGCAAGAAGCTAACAGATTATTACATTTAAAAATAAAACACACTGAATAAGACAACATGGTGAGTGCACATGACATATTCAGAAAACTGGACAAAATTTCGAAGGAAGTTGCTAATCAAATCTTGACTATGTGATTATAAACTTGCATAGGTTGTCTATTTTGTGCAAACATTATTTAAACACGTACATTTTACAAGATACTATATGAGTGCTGATTAACACAACACTATGAAAGTAATTGTCCACTTCAATCAATCAATATTCCCAACATGATAGGCAACTGATGTGCAAAATTACAAGAAACACAATCACATAACTACAAACTGTAACAAATCCATTCCTTAACATAAACCTCTATTTAGATAGACTTAACAACCATGTCTTAGAGTCAATTGCTAAAGAATATGAAGTGGCTGAAACACCAGAATTATGGTTCTGAAGCTATTTTATGTTCCATTTCAATTGAATAAAAGCCACATACGTTTATGTTCCTGCAATAATGTCCGTTCACCACTATTTTCTTTTTTTCAAAAAGTTTAAAGTAAAATTTTCTTGCTGAGGATCCGGCCAAGCAACCAAGGGAAACATATGCCAAGGAACTATATCAGGGCATTAGCTGACATTGACATCCAGGTCAGTGTAACAGAAATTGTCTTTTTTCTTGTGAACTTGTGTTAGTAATATAGGTACGGTTGTGAAATAAGAACCAGATAACAGTCTTTAATAGGGAGCACTGGGCATTCTGAATTATTATATAATCTGGTACCTTATAAAACTATACATGCATGACAACCACCAAAGCTGTGGTCATGCATAATGCTGATACCTTCTGAGTAAGCTAATGCCACTTATCCGGCTACAAAAAAGATGAAGCAACTTATAAAAAGTTGGACAGTAACCCACTTGTAACCTTTTGGAATATAGCACAACCAAGCAAACCCCAAAATGAAAAGGCCACAAACCCCAAAGTGATAAGGGCTACAGAAATCATATTGTCATGACTCATGACAGCCATGCCAACACACATTGACTTGCTTGAGCCAGCACAACCGACAAAGAAACTGCTTGCAGTTAAGCTTGTTAATCCAAGCAGATTAGCCAAACCCATGACATGGAATGTGGCATAGCACACGCCATACCGACAGGATAAGAGCATGAAACAGGTGCCACAGAAGGTAAACATTGCAAAATACTTTCACTAACAAATACAGCATGAAGTTTATTAGCATTTAATAAAATTTTACATATTCAAATTCTCACCAGGACAACAGCTTCATCTTCAATTGTATTCTTGACAGATCTGAGGCCATCACGAACAGCATCCTTGATTTGAGCAATTGTATGATCATTTGGTCCTGCATCGAGGACAATCATGAACAACCTGGTTTGAGATACCCAATCATCTATTCTCTTGCTATAATAACAACCTGGTTTGAGAAAATAGCATTATTCTAAAAGCTTGAGAACCTTTAATCAAGATAGTACAGGAGAGAGGGTTTTTCACGTTCTCCACAAAGGTGTATTTTTCTTCACCAAGGATATGTTCATAGACAAGCCCAGCCCAACCAAGACAATCTTCGGTTAAGTCATCCACAGAATTAACAGCTTCCCCTCCACAGGCTAGAACTAGCCTTTCCATATTCCTCCTCTTGGCTCTCCGAAGTGCAATAATCTAAAATTGAGAGTAAAAAATAATAAAACCCAGTACATGGTATAGATCCTTAACTAGTTACAAAGATTTCAGAAATACAACCACCAACATCGCACACAAAAGGTTCTAGCATTGTTAAGGATGGCTGAGAACAGTACTTAGCTCAACAAAGGCAAGAATATCATAAATTTATGGAGAGAAGAAAATAACGTTGAACAACATGTGAAAACAGCCAATGCAGAGGTAGTCCCGCACCAGTTTCTGACCAGAAAACATGAAGCTAAATACTATTGTGATTATTACCAAAACAAATGATTCTCTCATATGAGGTTGTGCTAGAGACATCAGTAAAAACTATTGACCTCGTAAATGGACCTTCTGGATAAACCATAAAACAAAAGATTACATTTGATTTTCTGCATTTTATGACCTGAATAGGTTTCATACTTCACACTATGAAACATACTACAGCAATCAATTTATACAACATGGACATTATCAAGAATCAGAATCTTTTGCACAGGAACTAATAATTTACGAGTTTGGAATTTTAAACAAACTCCAGCTATAAAAAGCTCATATCGTTATCTACAATGCAGAATAAGAATTAAAATTTGCAAATATCGAATGTGATGTTTTGCACATATAGAATTCTAGCTGTGCCACAACATTTTCCTCCTAAAAAGTGAAGCATCATTAAAGCATTCAATAAGACATGCCCATCAATATATCAACAGCCAGAGGTGATTATAACTGTTAAGTATCAAGTGATGGCATGACTAACCCCTGCACGAGCAAGGAGATCCAGCGATGGAGGATCAATTCCCTTTTGGTTAATTATGACAAAGTTATTGTCATTGCCCGAGCAGACCTGCATGCGATGAATAGTTTGTGGAAGTCGCATGTAAGCATATGGTGTTTGAGATAAGTATGCAATTTGAAGAGGATATTTTTTTTTAACCTTATTCTTTAGTTCAATAATCTTCTTAACTCGCTCATCCACTTGACGCCGTTCAGCAGCAACCATTTTCTCTCTCTGCTCCGCATTAGAGTAGAAAAATCCTGCATTTATTTCACTAAAGGAAAAAAAAAAATTAGGTCCATACAAAATATATATCCAAAGCAAGGATCAAGATGTTGCATACTATGGCTTCTCTCATCAACTGCGAGCATGGTAGAGACCACATCATATATTTAGCTATGCCATGCATTTTTAATAATGGAGCTGTGCATAACATGGGTGCATACCATATAACAGTAAGGAATACTGCATTGATGAGAGTTTTTGCACCATGAATCGGTACCATAATCCACAAATGAAAAAAGATAGCATATTTATAAATGTGATTCTTCCTGGGTGTCATGCCACATGGAAAAAAGGGCAATAATAGACCGATAAGATCAATGAACTACCTAAAAAAACAGAGCTGTTATAAAGGACTTCGCATAACATATTGATGGGCATTTATTTTGAGAAAAAATATGTTTTGTGCATGCCAAGGATGAAGACACAAAACAAAATGCACTCATCAAAATAGCATGACCAAGAATACAAAACATAAATTTCCATACACTCTTTTTTCAATGAACTTTGTGAAAAGCGAGTATAACAAGATTAACCTTTTCTCATACTCCAAAGAGACATTGCATGTCAAGATATAACAATTCTCTGCCCTCCGTTTCATATCAGGATGTCGAGAACCATGATCAAGGACAAGACCCTCAACCTTAAGAAAAAATGTGAAAACAAAAATGAGACTAAAAATGAGTCATAAACTTGATATGAATTAAAAGTAATCAATCGGCAAGTTTAATTGAATTCTTGCTTGTCCACATAAATAAGAAAAAAATCAATAGCTTGTTAACATTTAGAAATCACAATCACAGGTAAAACAGTGTGATTTGCCATATCTGATCAAATGGCTCAGCTCAGTCTCATAGTATCCTTTTTCTTTCAGGTTCTTATAACATATACCTGTTATAACAGGATAGTCTTCTTTTATGAGGAATATTTCTCCGTATCCACTTAGTTCTGCACTCTGGTCACCTCTGGCAGTATTTTTCAAAATTGATCTATTAGTCCCTAGGGTTCACCAGTCAATCACCAAATCCTTTGTGCAATCACTTAAACAATCACCAAAACTACTAAAAGTATCACAACACCAAATATATAGGTAGATAAACCAAACAATTTTTGTTACTGATGAATTTGCTTATGTTTCATATTTTGCCTTTTGTACTCTAAAAAAATCCTACATAAGAAAATATTTATAGGTTGTAGATTTTAGATACCAACCAATACTAGTAAAATTACGGTGTAATATACAGCATATTACATGCAAGCAAATAAAAACAATCTGAATTACCAAGAAAAGCCTACCAAGCGTGTATCAACATCAAACTTATGGCGCATGTGCATTATCTCCACCATGAAGAGATCAATGGGTTCATCAGGCTTGCGTATACAGAGAACCTGTTCATATTGAAAGCAAATTTTTTATGGCATGCCTAGATGCAGCTAGATGGAATACAAATAGGAATTAAAGTTCAACAAGGATGTAATCTATGAAATCATAAACAGACAAAATTTGATGATCCAGAGCTGAAAAAAGTTATGACTGTTGGATGAAAGGTTAAAAACAAGAAATCATTTTGCAGTTCATGACGAGAAATAGAAAATGTGATGATTGCGATTCCAATCAAAATAACATCAACCATGGCAACCAAAACTGATACTTTGAAGCCGAAAAAGAGAGGATACGTTCCACTCCTGCCTATTAAAGATACAAACTAGGATTTGCAACCAGATTCTGAAGCTTCAGACGAACCAGCCAACCTCAAGTCAGTCTAAGTCCATTGAGGATGATTTTAAATAGCCATGCAAAATTAGCCCAAAATTTCTTTTTCCCGATGTTGTGTTTGTGACAAATTGGAATTATGAAAATTTTCTCTTTCTGAAAATGCAAAGGTCTGACTAAATCCCACAAACACAATCTGAGGTTTATTTAGCAAAACTTATCAGCCTAGTCAATTAGGTACAACTTAAGGAGCACATATTGATCCAATCTGACAAAATAACTAGATCTACTTAAATCCATAAAAGAACTCTAAATCATGCTACAATAAGCACAACAGTTAGAATGCTTTTAAAGAACACTTAAAGCAAGTGACTCAAATAGGATTCTATTTTATTTTCATTTCTAATTCCCAAAAACTTGAAGTGTCAAGATAATGCATTCTATTGTCTTTTTTCATGGAACAGGGCCACTTATATTTGAGAACCTTTCTGGGAAGAACCAATTTAGAAAAATATAGCCAGACATGTGGGCCTCACTTGCCACATTAATTTACTTATTGCTCGTTACATGCCCAAAGTCCTAACAGAGGAATGGAGGAGTAGAGGTACCAGGAGGTCCGATAGCAGTGGGCCATGGCGGGTGGGGGTAGGCCTGTGGCCCGGGCAGATGTCATGAGTCAAAACTGTCCATGGTTCACGTTGCACTCGCAACTCTAAGCAGCAGGGTTTAAGAAAACAAATAAATGAACTAGATTTGGATTGCCCAAAAATGGGCAGTCTGCATTCAAGTTCACGTCTGGACCAATGAATACCAGCTAGCGTGTACCAGTCCAGACAAAATCACATTCACCAGGGCAGAGCATTTATGGGCACATGAAGTGTAGCCGATGAAGGTAGTGAAAGTACACTTATGAAGTAAAAGCATATATATGAGCATATTTACGTAAGCAACTATTACCTGAAAATTTCTAATTTCAGTGTAAAGCTACTGAAAGTACACTTATGAAGGAGATGCTACGAACATATACTGTACCACAAAGATTGATAAATCAAAAACCAGAATGAAGTAAATTTAGCACCATAAGCAACTGATAGTTAGCAACTTATAAAAGAAACGGTTCACCCACAACTGTAGCATGGAAGCATAACATAAGATATGCTTGTAATCAATTGAATTGTGTTTAGCATATGCAAAAAGATGTTCCTAAAATGCCAGCATCAAAAGTGAATGTTAATCACCACATTATGCATTTACTTTTAGAGAAGCATAAGAAACAAAGGCTCCAAGATAAATGTATGGGTGAGTATAAAACTTACTGCATTTACAACAATATCTGTTAGTTGATCAGCTAGTGCTTCATATAGCTATAACAAAGAAAGTTCAAGAAACAACGTTAAAAGATGAATACTTAAAAAGCATTAGTATGTTAGATGTATGTTACAGAAAGAATTAATTTGTTTACCTTTGTCCTAAGAGTTGTTCTTGCTACCATTTTCAATATCTCCTTGTCAGGCACATCACCCATCACAGCAGGTGTTTTGAACTTCTCAAGAAATTCAAGAGTAGCCCTCTTTGCAATTTCAAATCCATCTACCAGCACTCGTGGATGCATCCCTGAATAAAAAGCATTTTTAAGGTAAGAATGAGATTAAGAAAAAACTCTTTTGCAATGAGCTGTAATCATACGCAATGCTCAGCACTCTCAAGAGAGGCTAAAAAATGTCTTCTAGAACCAGGTACCACATGATCAGAGATAAAGTAAATTCCATTAAACTCACTAGCAGGAAAGTATCATTTCCACGTCACAAGAAGCTGTACATAAATGATCAAGAACTAATCAAAAGACAACAGTTTGTAATCTGTATAACCGGCAAAAATTTTAAACTTATCCATGAAGTTCTAACTTTTAGTATGATTCTATCACTCACAAAAAATTAACACAAAATTTAGCATCAAAATAATATAAAGGCACCATACTAAACCCAAGTACCTAAATAATTCATTTAAGTTCAGAAGAACCCACATTTTATCAAAACAATCTACAACGATAATTAATCAACCTATTCCTAGGGAAACTTATCTTCCAATAACAGTCCTGAACAATGTCAGAAATGAAACAAGCCTACCAGATTATTGTTATCCTTATAGCACAAACTCTTTAGAAAATCAGGAGTAAAATAGATTAAATACCTCTACCCCATCCATAATCCTGCATGCTCATAATCATAATCAACAGCCAAATCTTTTCCATTAGAAATAGATTGATCATTCAAGTTTGTCAAACATTAACCATGGGATGGATGAGGCATGACACTAGTGCAATCCAGCATCTAAGTGGATCTGCCGAAATTGGCTTATTAAAAAAAAATAGATACCAAATTCTCGGCCAAGGCCCACAAATGCAAGCGAAGAATTGCATGAAAATAATGTATTCCATCAGAAGTACAGAATGAAACAATACCACTTGTCCTCACAAGACAAAGAGCAGGACTCCAAAAATCCCAGAGGTACTGCATTATACCAACCATACTAACTGTACTATGTTGGTATGATACCATACCAACATCAATAGGTCCCTGATACCAGTCAGTGCTAAGCAATTGCTAGTTTCCTTTTTATTATTATTTTTCTACCAAAGAATACAGTAACATGCTGGTAATAAGTGCCAGTTTGATAGAATTCTGGAACAAGTACAAATATTTAAAACCTTCCATATAAATGAATCAGCTTCTGATGAGCAAATCGTAAACTAAAAGGTAATTTCTTTGATGATATCTTTGCCACATATGATGAAACTTCTTATACGGAAAATGTGCAACAAAGGGGTAAAGAAGTGCAACCATGCACGTGGTAGAAACCCCAAACTAAGGACACTGTGATGTTTATTTAGCCAGGACAATAACCATCAAAACAGAGCAAAAGATTTCACCCAGAATAGAAAAAGATCAACCGGGCTGCTAAATAGCAGACCTTCGTCAATGTACCGCTCCGACTGCTTCATCAGCTCCCCAATGAATAGCACAGTGGAGGTGGTGCCATCACCACTCGTCTCGTCCTGTGCGACGGCTGTCCTTGCGATCATGATGGCCGTGGGGTTTTGGATTTGCTGCCGATTCAACAAAATGCTGAGCCCTACCGACGCAATACTCGATAAATGGGTAAAGATGGAAACTTTGATGCGGATTTACGTAAATCATACCATCTCCTTCAAGAGGGTGTTGCCATCTTTCGTCAGCTTGATATCCCCAGCTCCCCCGACGAGCCTACGCTCACAGAAATCAACGCGCAGAGTCCAAATTAGAGGTCAGACGACAGTGAGAGGAGAGAGAGAGAGAGAGAGGAGAGAGAGAGGAAAGATTACATCTTGATGGTGCCCTTGGGGCCGAGATTGGTCCTGAGGACGTCTTGGAGACCCTTGGCGGCGTTAATGTTCATGTGGAGCGCCGCCGACTTGTTCAGCACCTCGGCGTTCGGATTCAACACTCGGAGCGACATCTTGACGTCCTCTCGTCCGATCGACCCACCGAAGAACCAAAACAGAGGAGGCGGAGGAGAGGCAACAGCGAGATCAAGCGAGAGTAGGGTTTTAACGTTGACAGACAGGAGGCGGCGAGCCTCGTCTCGGCCAGGAGTTAGAAAGTACCAGCGCGTCGGGCTTAATCGCGCCCGATCCTTCGGATTTGGAGTCGGTCCGTGGCGTAACCCCGACCCGCCTTTGAACAATGATCCTCATGATTCATACCGGGTCGAGTCTTGAGATAACGGGTTTGGAATATGCCTACCCGAATTGGGAACATAAACGGATTGGCACGCTTAACCTGATAAGTAAAGGGGTCGGGTAATTAACCCGATAAATTATTAGGTTAAGCATCTTAAATATGCTATCTTCGGATTAATTTGTTAATAACATATAAATGTTTGTCATGAGTAGGTCTTGTTGATAAACTGATGCGTCGTGGCTGATGAGTCAACACGGCCTGGTCCACGGAGCGATGTCGGGAGTCTTCGGTCGGTTGAGCTGGATGCCGAAGTCGATCGAGCCCTTCAATCGGTGTGTTGGCGCTGCAATATTGACGTCTCTTCGTTGGGATGCTGATTGGCGCGCGGGGAGGAAGGATGCCTCTATCGATCAGGATGACCTCGCCTCGGATGTTGCCATTTTCTTGCACATAAGGTCCCACCGGGTCGTTACCGACTGTTGCCCCTCGACAAGTAAGTCAGTGTGGGGTTTTATTTTCTACCTCCTTTTTCTCCTCCCCTGGCCGAATGCCGCTTTTATACTATTGTACGAGGGTCGGTCGTATGCGGGTTTGGAGTGACGACTGATTCTTGAGAGATGAGATGGTACCTTTGTGCGGCCGCCGTCCCGAGACGTGCGGAACGACGCCATGCAGCGTCGTCCTGGGCTTACCGGGATGGGACATACCGAGTGACGTCTTGATACGATTGCTGGCTCGGCGCGTGGGAGTGCTTCTCTTGCTGACTTGGCTGTGACATTATGTGATATCGATTATGACGTGACTTGGGCCGAAGTATACCTTATCATGTCTAATCATGTCAATCTTTGGCTTAATCGATTTTATTTTATTTTTGTGTCAAACTGGGCCATGTTGAGTATGCGATCCAGAACATATTCCCATTAAACGTAATCAATTAACTTAATAGAATCGATAAAACTCCTAATTACTTGAAGAGCATCGTTTAGACAATTCCATTTTGAGTTATAGGGTTCAAATTACTTGGCGAAGTCATTTCTCTGGAGGACTACACCTGATAGGGGTAAAAACAAATTTGACGTAATACACCACGACACCCGCCACACTTGGACGACTAACAGAGGAACATCCCCTCTCCCACCATCCTCTCCACATCACTGACTTGATCGTCGGAGGGGTCGGGCCGAGCTTCCGACCCGACCTGTGTGCAGGTGCGAGACGGGGTCGCCGCCTCCCTAACGCTGCTGCGGAGCTCCTCCCTGACGGAACATCCGAACCACCGTGGACGACCGCCAAGAGGACCTAAGGCACGCCGCGCAGGATCCCCGCCATTCGGACCCCCGAACAAGCCGCGTCGGCCCCGAGGCCACGGCTAGAAAAAAGTTATTTACCATAACAGATTGGCGCTAGAAGGA